AATACATAAAACATTTACATAAATAGGTATAAATATATGTACAAAAATCACAGAAAGTGTTAGATCCAATTAAATCCATTGACTTCAGTCCTTATCAGTCTTAGAATAAACCTTTAAAAAATCTAGTAAAGAAATTCTTCTCAATAGATTTTAAGCGCAGTTCGTGCTGTGCAACTGCTGTCTATGGAACTGATGCCACTCTCATTTTGTGGCCAGGCAAACAATAAGTGCGGGATGTTTATGAAAAGCACTTCCGCCTCTATCCCTTTCATTTATGCATGACCATTTGATGTGCCATGTGCATATGTGACTGTGTGGCAAGTTCCGTGTAATAACCAATTTGAAATGGATGGCAGGGAAGGCTTCAGCAGGATTCTACGAAAACTTTTCATTTTTTTTTTAATTTTCCCACCACATATACCATCCCGCCGTCTCTCCCCCACTTTGGCCGTTCTCTGCTCTCTCGCTCTTGGCAGCCACTTTGGCTGATTAAAGTGCAGAGACATGCCCGCAGTAACAGCAGCCCCAGCAGCCCCAGCAGCCCCAGTAGCAGCAACAATAACCAGGCGAATATCTGTTAGCAACTGTACGAACAACAACTGTTCGCAACAGTTTTCACCATCGTTTGCCATTAGTCAGGCCCACGTCATCAGCCATTAAGAGTATTTTTTAGCCTGGTCGAAGCACACAAAGAGCAAGAGTCAACAAAAAGAACTGCTCGCCGAAGAAAGAAAGGCTGTCTTGGGCAGGCGAGGCTGTAGATACCCTTCCAGATTCCCTGTTGCCGTTTCAATGTGCAGCGTGAAGAAAAGAATGAGATATCTTTGATTAAGCAGATAGCCAATGACACACATTCGGCTGGCTACCTTAATGTTCATATTTATATACTCCCAGACAGCTTGCAACTTCTTGGAAATCGCAATATTCATTTCACCTATTTCCATAATAGAAAATCAAACAAAAGCTGCACAAGACACGCAGCACTTCAAAGACTTTTACTGTGACTGCAGCCCGAGCTAAAAGCATCTTTCAGGATGATTTTGCATATGATTTAGGTTGGGAAATATGTTCATGAGTAACACACCTCTGAGTGCCTTCCATGTACGGGTACATGGTCATAGGTGCTCGCAGAGCCTGGCCGTTAAATTGCTTTGCGTCTGGCCTTTCCGAATACGAATGAATGGCCCGAAGGGCAGGACGCTTAAGTTGTTCGCATAAAAAGTGTTATTAAAAGCGAATGGAAACAATGAAGAAATGCCATCCTCAAACTTGGTTCGCTTCCATGCCCCGGCCGGCACTCATATTAAAATGCCAACGCGTCTCGTCTGGCTCGTGGTTGTGGTTGGGGCATATGCGCACGGGGGGCGTATGCGTATTGTGTGGCACATTGACATCCAACGTTTGATGTGCAACAGTTTGCAACGCGTGTGACGCGTTTTTTCATTGCTAAATTCAAGAGTCTTCAAATTGTGTTATTAAAATATTTTCATTACGCGCATTATACCAAAATAATGGCAGCAACAAATTGCAGCCACAAATCGATGGCGTGGGAGGAGAACCAGGAAGAAGGAAGACATTCTTCCTTTGGTTTCATTCTTTTTTATTCCATATTAATATCAAAGTCAAGGCAACAGTTGCCAAAATGAGAAGAGCGAAATGAAAATTGAGGATTGGTGGGATGACTCGTGGGACATGACAACCGAAGCGAAGGCAAATCAAAGAAAAATTTGCTGATTTTCATATCAGAAAAAATTGCCATCGTTGGCACAAAAAATCGTTTGCCATTTGCATTCGCAGCAGGGGCAGTGGAAGTGGAAGTGGCACTCTATTCAATGAAAAGTGAACATGAATATACCATCTCTCTCTCTCTCTCTCTCTCTCTCCTGCCTCTCCATCTCTATAGCTGGCATTTTTATTGATATTGTGCATAAATTAAGTTTATAAAGTTTTTTGAATTGAATTTGCAACGAGTTGCACTTTCGAAAACCTCCCATGCATTGAGGCATGTGGGAAAAAAGAAGGGACAGCGAGGGAAATGGAGAGAAAAGAGAGAGCGCTGTAGACAGAAACGCTTAACGGTAATAAGCTGGTTAAGAGTTAAGTGTTGTCTGACACACAGTTCAAGCTGCACAGCAAACAAGTGGGAATCCATTTGGCAGGAATTTAAGTTGAAAACTTAAACACACAGCAGCAGTGTAAAATCAAATACACATATGGATGAATATAAAGCCATTTAATATACTCAGATCTCTCTCTAATGGAGAGCCACGTAGCCATCCATATTAATTCCAAAGTTTTACATTTCATATCCTTTTTTTCTCAGTATATCGCTTCAGAGTCTTCCCGTTCGCAATAGCGCTCCATATTATATGCAGATCGAGAACATCTCGCAGCTTAATGGATGTGGATGGCTGTGGTGATGCTTTGGCAACTGAAATTGATTTACGAAAAAACACTTCAAACGGCTCAGGTCCAATTTCGATTGCATTCGTGCTTGTGCGCTGGCTAGACGGCCCACAGCCACCCACCCCGTTCGCCCCTTCCGCCGCATGGCCATTTTGGCGTGTCGCATATGGGTTTCCCACCCCTCCACCCCTCACCGCACTCATGCTCAGCACCGCCTTGATGATAAGCGGTGGCAAGTACAGTGCAGTGCAGTGCAGTGCCATTGCCAGGCGAGAGTCGATATAAATTCATTTATTCATGAGCTCGAACCAGGAAATGAATGTGAGCCACCTGCACCCCCCCCCTCCCACCGTCGCGAGTGTGAGTGTGAGTGTATAGGAATGCGAATGTGAATGTGTGAGTCTGTGTTTGTGCATAATATATGAGTGCTTGTCTACGGCTATGGTGCAACTTTATGAGGGTCGTGGTGCGATTTATGAAATACGTATTTCGTTTTCCACTAAATGCAATGAATTATGGGTCCAAAGAGTTTTCAACTTTCCTCAAAACTTCCAGCCATGGCACTGGTTGATGTTGATTGGAGGAAGAGTCCCTGCAGGACCTCTTCAATTTTCTTCTCTAATGCAAGTGTTTGGGCGTGTTTGCCTAAACTTAAATTGTGCGCATTATTGGCAGAGTGCACTCAAATGCATTCACATGCACATTCACATACACATACAGACTCTCTCTTGGGCGGCAGCAGACATGCATAAATTGACGCCAAAAACCGTTTAAAACGAAATCCAAAAAGGAGGAAAGGAGCAGCAAGGCGAGGCGAAGCAAGGCAAGGCGTAGCGTGGCATGGCGTCAAGTCTCAGCATTCGCTGCAAACGCATGCGAGAGACTCAATGCGCACAAACAGCAAAGAAACTCACAGAGATATACACATGCCTCTACCTCTGCCTCATCCTCCATTTCTATTCACAGTAGACACTCAACTTTCACTTTGAATTTGCCAAGTTTGTGCTCGAGAAACACACACCCCCCGCCTGCGCATGCCACACCCAGCACCACTCCGTTCCATGCATTTTGCTTCGATTTTGCAAAAGTCTTTTCCCTTTGACTTTTGCCCCTGCCTGGTCCTGCCCAGTCCTGCCATGCTACTGCCTTTGATTTTAAGGATTTATCATGTCTCCCATAGCATACTTATGCGCGCCATTTACATATTAATGGGACAGACACAGGCACGGACAGGATCCAGATCCACCAGATGACAGCCTTCATAAGTGCATCATGCGTCGTGCGTCGTGCAACGTGCGTCGTGCAACAGCAAGTGCTTTACTGACTTTTCTTACTCTACTGTCTACTGCCTCCTTCCCCTCCAGCGAATTATCAATAATTCAAATTGCACATTTCGGAACTCGACTGATTTCTGTTTTCCTTCTTGTTGAAGGAGAGAGCTCTGGGAAATCCCCATGGATTGCCAATATTCTGGTCAAGTGTCAAGTGGGAATCTCCTTGGGCTCGGGCTGGACAAATATGGCGAAATATGCCCACACTCATACTCACATATTCATCACTGTATTCACAGTTGTTCACACACAAACACACATCCATGTGTACCCGACTCGTCACTCTTGTTGTCCTCGTTTCGTTGGATACTCCTGGTCCTGGTCCTGCACAAACTCAATTGAATAAAGTCATTTTTATTTGTTTGGCAACTTGCAGACAGACATTCATACATATGTACATACATATATGTATACTTATTCGAACATACAGCAAAAAACAACAATAAGGAACGAGTTGAGTTTTGAAAAGGGTTTCCTCCCGAACACAGTAAACTGTCTGCAATATGTCCTGCGATAGACGAGTATCCGACAAGCACAATCTGTTGTTGAGCTGTCAGACAGGCCGGCCCACTGCCACTGCCAGTGCCACAGCCAGTGGCAGTCCTTCATAATAACCGATATGAAATGCATTCTGGTAAAGACGAACAATGAAAATGATTGAAATATTGGAAATACGGGCACCGTACTGGCTACTGGATCCCCAAAGAGCCACACATCCTTGGCCACCCATAACGCACAATCTAGTGGAGTGAGTGCAGCACGAAAGTGAACAACAAATTTAATCTAAATCCGCAAATTAAGTGCAAGCCATCAAATCAGACAGTCGTTCGTAGACCTTATCTAACCAAAACATTTCCAGCCATAACCATAAGCCATCGAGCATGTCAATCTATGGCATTCTGCTGATAAATCACTGATAGTGGGGATTTTCCATGGATTTCCATGTTGGCTCTGATGAAATCTATTTCCGAGAAGTGCAGACTTTTATATAGTTAAAAACGTTATAAAAGTGTCAAGGAAAAATAAACATAATTCCATGTCCGATACAGTTCAAAAAGTTTTCCCATTCATCGAACTTTAACCCAGGGTCTGCAGCATTGGGCAGACTCCACAGAGGTGCCTACTACATACTACTACTACTCGTATGAACTCTGCAACTTGTTGTTTAATATGTATTCCCGTAGTGCTGGCCTAGCGCATTAGCATATATTGATTGCTTGATTTTGATTAACATAGCACTGAAACCGATGCTCTCTTTTGCAGTTCTGGAACCGGTGTTTCCTATGCGCGATGTGACCATAAATCGCAATGTCGATGCCCATAAGCTGTTCGATGTGCTGGGCGAGGTGGGACGGTGAGTACCTCTGCATCGAGATGATGCCCGATCTGGGGGCCCGAGCGCCCAGTGTGGCTGGTCGATAACTAATCCCTCTCCACCCTCTCTGTGTGCGCAGGGGAAAGTTCGGGACGGTGTACAAGTGCAGGGACAAGACGAACGGCCTGCAATTGGCCGCCAAGTTTGTGCCCATACCGAAGCGCGAGGACAAGCGGAATGTGGAGCGAGAAGTGGAGATTATGAATTCGTTGCAGCATCATCTCATTATACAATTGTATGCGGCATACGAATATCAGAAAATGATGTGCGTCGTCCTGGAACTGTAAGGAAGCGCGGCGAACTGTGCCCGACCACCAAGCCGTTGAAAAATGGCTTTATGAATGTGTTGATTTTGCCTTGTTTGTTGTTCGTCTCTCGGTGTGTGTGTGTGTGTGTGTGTTTCTCTCTCTCCCCATCTCTGCCTCTATGTTTTGATCTCTTTGTGTTTGTCATTCAGTGTTCTTGAAGTTTTGTTGTTTGGTCCCCATTGGATGTTGGCCACATTGTTGCCGCCGGCATACAATATCTTGCAATCAGTGGGCAATGTGCATAAAATGCGATTTACACGTACGCACATTATCGTAAACCAGTAAACTTCTCACCCACACAAACACACTTGCCAATGCTCAGCACTTTACGCACACACACACATAGAAAACCTTGAGCAACAGGTTGTCCCTTTCTAGCATTTATATGAATTTATAACAACTTTCATTGGGCCCGCGACTTTGGGTCGGACAAAGTTTCCTTTTCTTGTTTGCTTTTTTTTTGTGTTCCTTTTCTTTTCTGACACGGGTTGCGGGTCCTCGTTCGGGTCTCCAATGGCCCATAAAAACATTTGAGCCAGGTGTGTTGGCACTGATTAGTCCACGGCCTTGACCCACATTCCCCCCCCACCCACAACATAAATTGTGAAAAACAATGGCCAGGCGAAACAATTTCATTTTCATAGACATAGACATATGACAACACCAAGACAATGCAACCAAAAAAATGTCTTCTTCAACTTTAATTAATTTTCAGGCAGAACTGCAGTTGTTCAACATTTTGTTGTCTCAGCTGCTGCTGCTGCTGCTGCTGCTGCTGCTGCTGTGCTGTTCATCCCCGAAGTCTCGTCCAAAAGCTAATTGTTGACTTGTACTGTGTGTCCTGGCATATTCATAATACCATAGAATGTTTTTGCATGTACATATTGTACGTATATTTTCCCAAGACAGGACAAAACTTCTTCAAGCGTTGACATTCGCCCAGTCCGAAAATTGTTTATTCATTTTGGGCCTTCACAAAATATACAGTTTATGACAGAGTCCGGCTCGGTTTCCATTAGGCTAATGTCTGCCGAAGACTCTGCTACAAAAAAGGGGGCAGAAAATGAAAAGGAAAACATAAACTGAAACTGAAACAATCTCAATTTAACTAGATTCGAATGTCAGTGCCATTGTAACTATATAAATATTTAAACATGTACGAGTAGTCTGGCAAATATTCTCCTTTGCATTCATCCTGACAGCCATTGAGTTCCGTCAGGGAAATGACGACACAAAGCAAGCCGAAAATCATACGGATAAGAGTCTTAAAGGATTTTCTCGATTGACTGGACGTCATTTTGGGTTTTTATGATGATGCAATTTTAATTGAAATCGCCCCTTTTCCCAGTGAAAGTTCACACACATAGAATTAAGCCACACAAAATTCAAATATGATATACATACTCGTATGATTCATAAAGTTCAGTCTTTGGCTGCAAAACCTATTAGATAAATTGTGCTCCCTATCACTATCAGTGAGGGTTCCCTTCTCATTCAAATTGAATTAACTCAATTGCTGATTGAAGAGCATCAACGAACAAAAACAATACCCGACAAATGTTGGGGAACTGTTGGCTTTTCCACCGCTCGTTTGTACCAATTTGAAGCATCTGATAGGCGGGTTTTGTGTTACCTGCGACGGAAAATTCAAATATAAAGTGGAATTTGGCGAGCGCACGAACATAATTCCCTCCGTATCAGATCCGTATCAGATCCGTCTGCTGTTGGTTGATGCTCTTCACTCGTGTCCACATGGGATGGATGCTCATGGATTATCTGATTTTCGTGTTGTGGCAGGGCAATCGATACTCTTGTAAATAACATATTTAGAGACTAGAGTGTGCCAGGTAAGGCGATTGATTATAACCGGACCTAAACACTTCCGATCAGGTGGGGCACACTAAACCAAAGACCTTAATCTGTGCATGAGTTAAACTGTTTATGCATGAAGCTTTTTATTCTGTTATCTGCTGAGCCCCGAAGATTGCCATTAAACTGAACTTTCTCTGCTTCCGCAGCATCGAAGGCGGCGAACTCTTTGACCGCGTGGTGGACGATGAATTCGTCCTCACTGAACGCGTCTGTCGCGTCTTCATCCGCCAGGTGTGCGAGGCCATGGCCTTCATTCACGGCAATGGCATAGTCCATCTGGATCTGAAGCCCGAGAACATCCTGGTGCTCACACAGAAGGGAAACCGCATAAAGATTATTGACTTTGGACTGGCACGCAAATTCGATCCGGACAAGCGTCTCAGGGTGAGTCTTCTATACCTTCTTAAATCCAGCATCTTCAATAGCAAACTTGCTCTTTTTTAGGTGCTCTTTGGCACACCCGAGTTCGTGGCTCCGGAAGTGGTGAACTTCGATTGCATCTCCTATGGCACGGATATGTGGAGCGTCGGTGTTATTTGCTATGTGCTGTAAGTTCAAAAAGATGGGGATACATTTTAAGAGAGGGTTAAAAGTAGCATGAATCGGTTCATCATTTCATGTGGCTGGTTAAATTAAGGCCTGCGGGGCATATACATAGAATCATCTTCGCGCCCAATTTTAGCCTTCGTACAATTATTCCATTATTCCTGGTAAATATTTTTGAAACATTTATCGCCAGTGAAGCAATTACAAAATTTAATCAAGACTTGTCCCTGTATCTTAGGGGTTTGTACGAAAACTAATTAAAAATTTGTGCCAGCCAAAAGTGGAATAATCAAAGGGAGAGTCTCCGCTGCAACCCACCCCTGTCCCTCCACTCAGCATCCCCCAATGCAGTGCGAGAAAATTTAATTTAGTTAATTAAGTGTTGGCTCTTGTGTTTTTTTATGCGTTTATTTATTTTACTTACGCTGCTTTTACATTTCATGTTTATTGACTTTTCCACACCCATCGTGCCATCCTGCACACACACACACATATGATGGTACAGCATCTCGGGTCTGTCGCCATTCATGGGCGAGAACGACATTGAAACAATGTCAAATGTAACCATCGCGAAATACGATTTCGAGGATGAATGCTTCAATGGAATATCCCCGGAGTGTCTGGATTTCATAGCCAAGCTGCTGGTAAAAGACTTGAGGTGGGTGCACTTTTCCCTGCTCCTAATTAGAGTCTAGTCATAACCGCAAATCCCCATACCATGCCTACCTACCCCTCTAGCACCCGCATGACAGCCGCAGATTGCATGAAGCACAAATGGCTCCAGCAGCGGGCGACCGCGGCAGCCACCCCAATAGCGAAGGGAGCCTCTTCGGCGTCGAAGACACGCCTCAAGTCGCAGTCACCGACACCAGCCGCCTCCGAGTCCTCCGAGGAGTCCACAGAGACCATCGAGGATGACGACGACGACGTCGTCGTAGAGGGGAAAGTGGAAGCGGGGGAGAGCGTAGGAAAGCAGGAACAGGACCAGGACCAGGACGAAGAGTGCGAAGAGCTTGCGAAGCTCTGCAGTGCCGTAGACCTGGAGGTAAGTAATGGGACAGCGGCAAACCATGTGTCATATTCCACACGCTATTCCTTTTACGGCAGAACAAAGAGCTGGATGCCACCAAGGATAACCTGAAGAATTTCATTGTGCGGTGGGAGACGCATCCCAACAGTCCGTATGTCTTCGATGTGGAGGGCAATGTGATTGCGCCCCTAAACGAGACGAGCTATCCGCACCCGCGACGACCCCATGGCCAGGACAGCATCTCCTCGTCCCGAGGTGAGTACTGCCGTGGCGGCGGCTCCCAGCGGCAGCGCGACCGGCATGCCCTCATCCATGGCAAATGATGGTTGCATCCACATCCACAGCCACAGCCGCCAAATGCCAAATGCAAATGCAACTGCATCCTGCATACTGCATCTGGATCTACTCTGTAAATTACACGATTAACTTGTCAAACACTAATTGTTGTTCTTAACGTGAATGTGAACCAGGTTGGCTCGCTGAGAAGCGCATAGAAAGGCGCCCTGCTCTCTCCTCTCTGCTATACTCTACTCTTCACTTCTGTCTCTCTTACTTTCTATCTCGCTATATCCTTCACTGTGTTAACCCCACGTCTATTCTGTGTGTTTTTGCGAGAGCGGGAGGGCCAGCATGCCAGCCAGCCAGCCAGCCAGCCAGAACTGTTGTTAATCTTTAAGTAACTGTAGTCCTAAGCAAAGGTCTGGCATCCTTGTAGCGGATACCGCCTGTATTAACCATTTTGACACTGTGATAATGACAGCCACTGACAAAAACAACCAAAATATGTCCAAAATATACTTCAATTTGAATACAGAATACCAACAACAAGCACTACTCTACTTCTCTGTACTTTGTTCGAGCCACGCAGCCATATGCCAATCCACTCTGCCACTCTGCCACTCTTCCACTTCCAATCCCCCTTCAATCCTCTCCACTTCCAATCCCAACCGAAATCCCTCAAAAACTTACCCCGATCCTAGGTCAGACATAGATCAACATACTCGTACATAGCCAAAGTTTCTGGTCTGCCAGCCAGGTAAGCCCAACGATACAAATCCATAGAGATCCATCATCCACAGAGATCTCAGCAACATTCCAATATCAGCCTCATGTTCATTCGTTTTGTTGTCCTTCAGGGAAAGGTTCCTTCTTTTTGAATACACAAACTAACCCCATTATTGTCTCAATGAATTGTGTAAAACGAATATCAAACTCATTCCATTTGGATAAAATACGATCAAGAAAACTCTGGAAACTCTCTACCAATGTCGGGATCATTTTATACAACTCTCTTAACCCGAAAGCATGAACTAATTCCGTGTCTAAGCACTTCATGTACAAATTAAACGTAAACTAACCCTCTATGTATATGTGCCACTTTGGATCACCGAATTCTACTAAAAGCCTTCTCCATTTGCAGTGTGTTCGCCCTCGCCCTGCGAGTCGATAGCCACGATGACGGACGACGAGCAAGGCGATGGCGATGGCGATGGTGATGCCGAGCTGCAGGACGAGGAGGAGTCACCGGGGGGCGACAATGAGAGCCCCAGCTCCGTGTCGACGCCCATCAATGAGTCGCGCGAGAAACTCTTCCCGGCCATGGGCTCCTCCAACCCGGCCACGCCCACGCCCCAGCACCTGTTCAACGAGAACTTTGACGAATTCTCGGGCAGCGAGTCGACGGCCCAGCAGCAAAGGAGCATGAAGAGCTATCTGCACACATTCGATCGCCGAAACTCGGACACCACCTACCTGCTGGGGCGACGCAGCTCCGGGGAGCGCGTCAATCTGGCTGACGAGATCCGCAAGCTCTCTGACCATCTGCTCATGCTGGCCGATATCAATACGAAGCTAGGGGACTCCAACAACAAAAACAACAACAAGAACAGCGACACCAATGAAGCATCTACCCCTGCCTCGCCAGCTGCAGCTGAGAGCAGTTCCAGCCGCACCTCCGAGACGAGCCAGGAGGGAAACAAGTGGACCAGCCGCACGACCAGCAGCAGCAGCTGGAACCGACCCACGCCCAGGGGCGGACTCCTCAGTGCTGCCAGCAGCAGCAGCCAGCGCCACGCCACCTCCGACGATGGACAGGGCCAGACCAAGGTCAGTTCGCTGTCCGTGCGCCTGCAGCAGTCCATCGAGGAGACGCCGAAGCTGAGCAACGGCAACGGTAGCGAGAGCACCTGGTCCAAGTCGCAAGTGCAATCCCTACGCAACCAGTCCACGATGAGCACGATGAGCAGCTCCAATACCCGGAGCAGCACCTCAAGCCAGCAAGTACAAAAGTCCTCAGTGGCCTCCACGTCCAAGGTAATCTCCAGCAGCAGCAGCACCACCACGAGCAGCAGCAGCAGCAGCAATAGCCATCACATGGTCACTGAATCGGCCAGCAGTCGTCGGGCAAAGTTCCGCATCAATCAGATGAGCCGCGACGTGCCCGTTGGACTGCCCGACACGCACCAGATGGTGAATCTAGAGGAGGCGGCAAACACCACCAAGGACTGCCTGCTGCATCTCCTGGAGAAGTACAACGAGACAAAGATACGCAACCCCATGGCACGGCATCAGAGCATCAGCGTGGACTGGCATATGAGCGACAATCTGGAGTACCGATCCATGAGCTCCATCAATGCCTTCTTCCAGCGGCACAACCAAACCAATGCCGGTGGCCATAATGTCAAGCACATACAGGCCCAGCTGGAGGAGAAGGCGGCGGGGAAGTAGACGCAGCCACACTCCAGACTCCACTGTGTATATATTCAGATATATATATATATATATATGTATGTACTATACCAAATATCGGCTAATGCGAGTGCTTATCTAGTTAAACGAACCTAGTTAAAATTACTACTCTGCAAATGAAACAAAGATTAATATTTATGTATTTGTTGTAAGTAATAAATCAAATAAAACTATTGAAATAAAATGAAAATTATGCAAATTTTGTGCTCTTTCAAGGAATCCTATAAAACATTACAAATTCAAGGCAGGAGAGCTTCCTGTTGAACTTGTTCTAAAAGTGTAATAGTCACAAGATAAAGAAATGAATATGAGTTGGAATATTATCAGTTAATGAATCGAAGGATATAGTAGACAGATAGTCGTCTGTTTATATTAAATTCTTGCAACAAAATTGATTCATCCACTCCTGATTCATGTAGCAGGAGTAGCACATTCTCTTTCCACAGTTCCTTAATATCTTCTTTAAATATTTACAATTTTAAGCTTTCAAGCTGTGAAAATTAATATTCAAAAATACAAACTATTTTTACTACCGACTAAAAAATCAAAAACAATTTATTGCGATAAAAAAAAAAACAAATATCAACTTATAAATTGTACAATGTTCTATAAATATACCTACTACATAATACGGCTAGGGGCTACCACTACAACCAAAACGATGAATAGGAATTATAATCAATAACAAGCAATAACATGTAAATGATTTTGTGGATTTGCGGACTGTCTGTCTGTCGGATTTGTCACTTTTGGAAAAAGAACATTTTCTGTATTTTATATTCCTGTTTCACCATGATATTGTTTTCGTGTTTATCTGTTTCTGTTTCGTGTTTCGTGTTTTGTGTTTTTGTTTTCTGCTTTTTGTTTTATTGAAGTATGAGTTGTGTATATGGTAATTATACATCTATACATATAAATATTAGGAGAATACTTTGGATTTTGTTCTTAGTTAGGCCTTAGGAGTAGGTGGTTTTGTATAAATGTTATGAAGAATAGGCTCTGCCTATGTGTATAATAGGTTCTAGATAGTATCTACTTTTTGTACATAATAGTTGTAGGCAAAACTGTTTTCATAATTTGCCCCAGAGATCATGGCAAATCATAAAGACATTTTACCATTGGTTAAGAAATGAGAGCATCGAAAATTTGTGGGAATTTGGCCTCAATTCCCGAATCAGGGATGGCCAAAAGCCCAGACATTTACGCACTTAATCAAGGTTTGTTTTTTTTTGCTTTTTCCACTGGTCGAATTAAGGACAATGTTAGTTGGCCAAACAAAAGCGAGACAGCAATGAGCCATGTCCGAAGAGACCTGCTCAATGTGGTCCCGTTTTAGTGGCTTTTAAAGTTAGACAAAAGTCAATGTTGCTCTGGTCCGTGGTTTAGTTTGAATAAATTGCAGGACAAGAGCAAGAATGAGTTTTGTATCTAAGGAAATTTCGAAGCATTTTGAGTTGCTAACGAAATTTCAACGAATTTCAGAATTTTCAAGTTGTTTAAAGTTAGAATTTCATCGTTAGAAAGGTTCGTTTCAATATAGGTAGGGATAATTCCATATAGCTTGCGGTCTCTTGTTCCTTCTCTTATCATCTTGTTGGTTCAATAGTTTGTTTTGTTTTGTTTTGTTGGTTGTTAAGAACTAATCACTTAGTTTATGGCATTTCCCACTAGGGAAATCTACAAAGTTTCATTTAGCTCGAACTTATTGGCTTACAACTAGTTACTGGTTACGGGTTAGGAGTAGTTGAAGACTATCAATTAATATTCGCAACTGTCGCCCTTGCACTGCATAAAAAGGTTTGTAAAAAATATGAAGAATACTACAAATCGCAGTGGCTTATAAAAAATCAAATAAAATTATACAATTGCAGATTGCAAGTCTCGGTTCGGTGGGGCAGTGGTGGGACCCGGGCGCCTCAGTTGTGGCGCGGCCGCTTCAGCATTGCCCCAAAGTGCGCTCCCAGTCCGAATCCGCTGGATGCAGAGGAGGAGGGTGGTGAGCTGGTGCGCAGGCGTTTCACGGGCGACAGTTTCTTCGGAGCCTGAGCAAGTCGCTTGCGCTCCTTCATGAACTCTGCAAATTGAATAAGAGAAAACGGGGGGATATTAGTTGCATGAAATTGGTAAATTATAAAGCAAAGTCAGCTGCTGCACATCCTGTGGTGGTGGTGCCAGTTTCCTGATCCCCCCTGTCATTGATCCCAGCAGCAGAATGGAACAGCAGGCGCCGCCTGTTTTTGCACATTTTGATTCCGGATTCCGGATTGTGGCACGTGGCTGGCAGCAGCCCAGCCCCTACACACGAGGGTTGCAGCATACATACCCTACCCCCTCCCTGTCCCTGTCCAAGGGTAGCAAATAATGCCAGACGGCAGCTAGACAGTTTGGCCAGCTCAGGTAGAGACGCAAGTGAAAGCAAGAGTGGAGGTTTCCTCCGATGCATGAGATGCATAAGCCGCATAAATTACACGCCCAGCTAGGTCGCCACCAAAAGTACAGCAAGTCAAGGCTTGGCTCTGGCCAGAAACTGGCCAGAAACTCCACTCTGCCAAATGCGGGTGCATACAGAGTGCCCCGAACAGACACTTTTTATTATTATAGTCATTACACATTCATATGCGAGTGGCATATAAAAAAGCAAGCGAACGAGCACAAAGCAATCAAAGGGAGGCTCGATAAGGCTACCAGCCATGGACTTGCTATGGTGGTGCATTGAAAGCTGATCCCCCTCGCGTTCGCTCGCTCGTAATGAGGTCAGGCAATAGACAAAGCAGAGTCAGAGGCAGAGCTAGAGCCACGCACAGCTGTTGGCATTTATAGACGCTGGAGATGCAGCGAAAGAGCCCGCATGCGATCGATCTGAAATCAACCCCCGCGAGGATCAGATCAGTTCCATTCTGTTTCGTGGATAAAGAGATGAAAGGCTGAAAGAGCTGAAACAGCTGCAGGCAGCCCCAGAGTTCGTAACCCTTTGGAAAATCTCTCATAAAGCAAACGCTAATTACATAGAAAGTCTATAATTTTGGTTTAAGTCGTTCCCCAGCAACGCCCACCACTAAAAGTCCTGCTCCCACCCATGGGAAACGAAACTAAACAGCGTTGGCCGGGCACAATATGGGAAACCAATTTGTAACGTATATCGAATGTGCAATCAAGCCTGACTCTGGGAATGGTCAAGCTCTGCTGGGCATTTGCAACCCTCGTCCTGGTTCTTGTCCGACACTCACCTGTGATTTTTGGCTGTCGCTTGCGCAGCGCTAGCGCGGATGTGGTGCTGCTCAGGCTGTGACTCAGGCTGGACGGCGTGAATCGCACGGTAAGCGACTCATCCTGTGAGTCGTAGCAGGAGTCGTTGTCTGTGTTGGACTCCAGCGACGAGTTCGCCACATTCACAGTAAAGTTCTCGCGCTCGGCCCGCTCGTTGATCAGGGCATCGTTGGCGCCGGTCTCCTCGCTGGGACGTACGTGGGCGGCTCGGGTCAGGGTGTACATATTGGGGGCAAAGCTAGACTCTTGAAAGCTGACCAGTTCCCAGGTGAACGATGAACTGTCCGCCAACGGGCAGCCAGCGCGGAAGTTGAATCCCCACTTCTGTGTGGCCATTTCCTGGTGTCTCTCCAGCTCGGCATTGAAGGGCCTGCACACAGAGGAAACGCAGATTTGGTTAGGAAATCAATAAAGTTAGAGGAATATCAGCAGCAGACTTACGCTTTATTGGTGCTGGCCTCCGTGGTACTGGGGCTGCCGAAGAGATTTCGCTTGATGCGATTCACCTGACGACCGCAGGGCAGATTGCGGCTGACCGACGGACTGGCACTCATCTTGCAGAACTCACTGAGCATGACGGGATTCAGCACGCGTGCACTGACCATGTTTGGCTGTATATATATATATCTGGTGTCTGGATGTGGTGGCACTGGGGGCAGCTCTGTTGTGGCTGATTTGTCTGTTTTGACTGTGCGACGCAGTTTTGTCGTGTCTGCTTTGGGCCACTTGTTTGCGAATTGCACGACAAAGCGAACTGTCAAAGTTTTGGCGCCAAAACTTTTGTTTTCTGGCTCTCAACGGAGGGGCAGTCTCCACGTACACGCACACACACACGCACACGTAAACTGGGGAGAGCACTGGTCTCCACAAGGTCTGCTGTCGAAGCGAGAGCGAGTGAAACGTAAATGTATGCGTTTCGCTGCTGCAAGGTCTTTTTGCGTTTGTCTTTTACACTTTTATGGCCCGATATAATATTTCGTCTGGCAATTTGTTTATTAAAATCACCACTTGCACTGAGATAAAATATTCCACTCCACTCACTGCACGAGCTGTTGTTTCGAGCGAGTTGTGTTGTTGCCTCTGAGCAGGAGAGTAAGAGAGCACAATGATGTGTACAGTTGCTTTCTGGTTTGATATGTTCGTAGCACAATTGTTGTTAACTATTTGTTTATACAACTTGGAGGTGTTGTAATACACTAAAGTTTAGTTGCAATTTTTTATTCAAGTTCTGTGTAATTTTCAGCGCACTGCGCATGGGAATATGCGCCACCGACTTGCTTGTACTTTTTCTGTACCTCTCTCGACGAACTCACTCAGCAGAATAAAAACACAGATAAACAGCCAGAGCAAAGCAAAACGTCAAACAACCACCAAGAGCGAACCGAACGCGTTGGCAGCGCTGCGGCGCGCTCTCTGCATACCAACCCTCGTTTTCAAAAACGCGATCCAAGAGGAAGCACCACGTTAGCTCTTGGGTTTCTGTTTCTCGCATGCATGCGCTTTTTCAGTGCCGAGCATAGCTTAAATGTGATGCACTTTCCAAGGCACAGCAAGTAAATAATATAAATAAATGTGAATTTACAACACAATGTGAATACAATTTGTATGAACTGCTGATTGAATAATAATTCACTTATTTTACTTCCATTACGCTGCTCTCTCCCAACTAAAACATATAAATGGTAAGTATGAATATATATGTTTACATATTGTATCAGAGCTAATTGCTTGTTAAAGTGCAGCATTAAAGTTTTTCATGGGGCGGATTTCTTTCGCAGAGTGCATCCACTAGTCGACTTGCTACCCTTTCGCGTTCTCTCGCTCTCTGTCTGCTTCTCTCTCAGTTGTATACTCCGTGTGTTGGTGCTGCGCCGCCTCTGGTGGAGCTGTACTTTTGCCTGCATGCGATGAGTAGATAAAAAATTGTTTGGTATTGGTTTTGGTTTGCTTGGAAACAAACTGGATTTGGTGCAGTCGCAGAGGAGCTCGAATTGGATTCGGGGCACAGTTTCTTTTCACTTTCCTCGGGTCTCTTGGGGGGGGCAAACGAAGGGGATTATGTGGGGCAGCAACAGCATTCGACTCGATAGACCGTTAAAAATAGAGTTGCCATGGCAATAAGGGTCTTCAAATTTCCGTTACATCATTTTTTAAGGTTCCCAAAGTTCGTGGCGAGACTTTTCAAAGTTTTCCCACCTCTTTATTTGAGTGCAAAATCGTAAAAAATTAAATTACACTACCAAAGCAATAAAATGCGATTTATATTGTTTGCACAAATCCAATTACGGCACAAAAAAACAAAAAGCAGAAAGATCCGATGATGCCGTGGAAGTCAGATTCGGAGACTAAAGACATCATTTGCTTTGTCCCTTTGCACTCGACGAAATAATGGGAAAACCTCTTGGCTTTTCCACACAAAAACTGTGAAGAAAATGGGTAGAAAAAAACAGAGCCCTGGCCCCTGGAGTGCAATCACCCCAAAAAAAGGCAGAGATCGTTTGTCGATCGTTCGATTAGGCAGCATAGCATCGTCTGTCTATCCTCCCTCCACTGTCCCTTGTGGTTCGGTTTTCTGTTTATGGGACACACCCTCCCCGAGGAGAAAAAAAGACAAAAAATATAAAGAAATGAAACGAACATTTACACACCTTATAACAAATTTGAGAATTCTGGTGGCGTTCGGTTGCAGTCATGCCTGCAACATAAACAACTCAAGTCGCTGAGGGAAAGAGGGAAAGAGTTCGTGATCCCCTTAAGTAATTTCCTCCTCGAGTGGACGAAATATCCACAGGATATCCTGGCAACAAACTGGCATCTTTTATATGGGTTGTGTAAACACACGCGGAAAAAGGCGTAGAAAAGAGGTGGAAAAATACTTCAATGCCATATAACCGATGTGGTGTGAGGTGTCGAGCCCATTATAAGGGCAGATCTTAAAGGATTGTTTAAATTAGGAACGTGCGGGCACTGGATATACAAGGTATTCCATCGATTAGAGAATTTAATGCTGGTTGGAGAACTCCCAGAAAGAGGATCTGATCTAACCTCCTAAAACCTCTCTTATATCCGTCGAACACATTTTTAGAGCCCCTGACATGATAAGGTCTTGAACAAACATCATCAACAGTGCCCAGTCGAAGGTCGCGGTCTGTAAAACATTATCTCGTCTCGTGTCTATAAAAACCTCAACGCAGCGCAGTCCTGTATAAAATATACGTTACACTCATTTCAAATGCAACGCGTCTTATCGCCTCAACGCATAGCCACACAATCAGCACTCCAGCAGAGGCCCTGAGTCAACCACCCCCGAACTAGAAGGTGGCCCAAGATAGTCGCATTAAAAACCTCCTCGGCCCAGCCCAGCGCTAAACCAAGCTCTACATGCCACGTGTTCTTCAGCGTTCAGCTCGTACTTTCAGCGGGGGTTCAAATGCCCATCGAGCATGACCAGGAGGCGAAGTAACGTACCAAATTGCCGTAAGATACATTTCATATAGACAAATACTGCATATTGCAGTCTCGGTTCCGTAAGGAAATTACCATAAAAACTGTTTAGCTCACAGAACTGTGACCGCAACTTGAAACATTTTGCTAGGCAGGTGCGCTATGGTTAAGGATACTTTCTGCAGGGGTACGAGTACATGTTGTGGGTGTGTTTGCCCAAAAATAATAACCAATAATGAGAAAGGAAAGCAATTTGAGTACCAAGGAAACCAGAAGAATGAATGGGCAGTTACGATCCTAACATTGTATTCCCGTAAACGATGGTAAATTATAGAAAATATTTCAGAATTAATGAATGATCTCTTGAGTGAAAATCGAGACTATTCATCATATAAAGACCAAACCCATTTGCTGTCCAGAAACCCCATTGCCTAAGAAGGAAAACCATTTATATATCTCAAACGAAAAGCGATCCCTATCCAAACGAAGCATTTCTGAGCGTGTTCCTTGGCAAATGACCGATCATTAATATTACAAAATCTCAGTGCAGGACATTTACAAATGACTCGGGACTTATCTGGCATCTTTTGATGGGACAAATTGCTGCGGTCAGATCGAAAGGTAATTGATGAATAGCCCTTGGAGTGCAATGCAAATAGTTGGGCAAGTATGCAAATGTTTGGACTGGCTACTGGGGACGAACGGGCTAATCCTTTACTGATCCTGCGGCTACTGTGCTACTTCCCATCCAATCATTCCATCAATCAACCGGCAAGGCACTTGTGCTCACCACAACCACAGAGAGCGAAAGAGAGCGATACTGGCATGACGACTCATTTTATTGGAACAGTCACTGGATAAACACAGACACACACACAAACCAAACGGAGCCCAATGCCCTGGAGGTTGTGTGAAAAGGTTCCTCTTCCTGGTAAACGCGTGGAAAACGTGTTTGGGCGCAGCACGATGCCAGGAGAACTCGTTTTATCAGCCAAGAAATTATAAATATTTATGGAAAACCATTTGAAGAGCAAACCCAAGAAAAAATGCAGACGAAAGAAAAACAAACAGACGAATAAAGTCAAGAAGTTGTCAAATCTTATGGGGATACGAGTACCGTAGGTCAGGGAAAAAGCAGATCACTTTCCCTGTGTGTGTGTGTGTGTGTTGTGTGTGTGAGGCTGCAAATGAATCTTTGTATCTGTTTTGATTTCTGTATCTGTATCTTTGCTTAGCGCTGTTTGCCTTGACTATCTGTCGCTCAAACTACCCCCAAAAAGTGGATGCGCACTTTTGGATCCAGGCCCAAGGGACTCAAAGGTAACTCAAACGCTGCCCGCCCAGCCGAATACAAATACGTAATAATAAAACGCATTTATGACTATGATTGGTGAGAAAAGCCATAAAGCAGCGATACAATCAGCTATCGCTTGGCTGGGATATCTCCACGGAATAAAAGTAACAGAAATAACAGAAATCCTTTCGAAAACTATCCACCAAGAACAGGTTGAGAGAGCGAGCAGTGGCAACACGAGGTAGGGGAGAGCGACAATCAACCGAAGTTGCGTCCCATAGTTAGCTGGCAGGTAGATGGATGTAGGATTGTGTTTGTTTGGCTGGAGTTGGAGCTGGGGTTGGGTGTTTTCAATCACGACGCTGCGCAGGCGCAGACAAATTTATTAGAGAGGAGACCGACCACAGCATTGCAGAGCAGGGCATGGAACCCTTTGGAGTGTACTGATGATTGAGTATAAAATAAAACGAAAACGAAAACAAAAACAAATGATGAACAGAACGAAGAGTAATTGTGGTACAGTTGTGTAGTGGCTTGAACTAATAATCGAAATCTTCTTCTTCATATGTGTCTACCCATATTTCCGGGTCTGCATCTGCGTCTTCATTACTGTCAGAATTAGGTGCAGTTGTGAAGCCCTCCTCGTCATTCTCGTTCTCAGATTTCTGCGGCCAGAGTGTGATGTGGCCATCGGTCGAGGAGCTGACGTACATCTCGCCATCGGGACTGTACTTGATAGTGGTAATATTGTGCCCCGCTTTGCAAGTGGGCCCTAAATTTGAGTTGTAGCTCGCCTGTGTCGTAACTGTACTTGTAAATGAATCCGTCGTAGTCGGCACTCACAAAGCTCTTCTTCTGTGGATGCAGCGATGCGCCCACCACCTTGAACGGCATCTTGCGATGCCAGAGTATGTTGAAGGTCTCCGCCTCGAAGAAGACTACGCTTCCGCCATAGGCGATGGTCACCGTCTTACCATCGGCACACAACTCCAGGCTCTTGGCGTGATGGGGCAGCGTGATCTTGTGGCTACTCTGGCCACTCGAAACGTCCCACAGCTCGACGGTCCGATCGTAGGACGAGGCGAGAAACGAGCGATCATCCCGGCAGAAGATCACGTTGCGCACGCCCCGTCGGCTCTTTCTGTAAATGCTCAGGCATTCCTGGCTTTGATTCACGTCATACAAACGGATCTTGCTATGGCGCTCCTGGCTGCTGGTGAGCATGTGCTTCGACTCAGTGTCCAAGGCTACACTTGACACCATCTGGACATGTCGGAACTTCTTTAACTCCTGGGCACTGGTTACGCTCCAAATGCGGGCGGTGCCATCCTCGCTACCCGTCGCCACAATCGATGCATTCGCACTCATGGACACTCCGTACACGGCCCCCTGGTGACCCTCCCGGTTTATAGTACTGTCTACATTTTCACCGCGAGAATCCCGCACAATGACTAGGCCATTCTGTCCGACGAATGCCAAGCTGTAGCGGCCCTCACAGGCCTTGCTGAAGCTCAACTCCACCACAGAGTCGACGTGACCCATGAAGGGCGTTTTAAACGGAATATTCAAAGCCATTTTGGGTGATCCGTATGCATTCCGTTTCGTATAGAATTATTTTAGAGCTACTCGTCAGATGAATAAAAAGGTACTGGCAATACGAGAGTCCGTTTTGTATGATGTGAACAAATGAAAAACTCCAGGCTCCCCCGTTGCGATGTTCATCGATAAGCTCCAAAGTGGAGTACCAGAGAATATCACTCAGTGAATATGACCCGAAGAAAGGAACTCGACTCACTTGAAGCTGCGTATCTAGACTCGACTCGCAGTGCCCTTCCTTGCATTTACATTTCCCACTTTTAATTTAATAGAAAGCACACAGACCCGGGGATAAGACTGAGCAGAGGAGCCGAGCCGAGCCGAGCCCTCAATATCTCCGTGTTGCACGGTCGGTGTGGGTATGTATCAGTCATCACTTGTTAATCTCGCTTAAACGTTTCAGCGGATATTATATGGCTCACGCCCTCACAGACACATTTTTTGGCAAACAGCGGAAGTGGAAGAGCAAGGGGAAGCAGAAGATGGAGCAGGATGGCGGAATAAAGGCAAACTACTGGCAACTTTGTCGGCTGGGAGCGTCAGGATATTGGCAAGGGCAGAGGGAATAGGGTGACGCACAAAGGCCTCGACGGCGGCTGTGATGGGGAGAGAGAGGGGGGGTAATGTATATTAAATGCACTCGAGAAGATTCAATTCATATTTCAGAACGTTTTGCTTTCATTAGGCGCCGAACAAAGGAGATTTCCAGTGCTGACTTGCCCTCCGGTGGCTCTGGTAGCTCTGGTGGCTCTGGTGGCAAGCGCGTGCTCTGCTCTCGAGTGCCAGAGCTCCGTTGAGGCTTGGGATAAATTTACACTCTCAGTGTGGGTTACTCGCTGCGAGTGTGTGTGTGGAGGGATGACACCTGTGCATACAAAAACAGGCAGAAGGCACACAATGCTTTGGATATGCCGCGCCCCTGCCACAGCTCGGCTCTCAACACCTTTTGGCAATCTTTGACTTTGTACCTGAACCAATTGTGATGCAGACGGCGCGGCGGCACAGGACAAGGAGCTGTAGCAGTGGCAGTGGCAGTGGCATGAGTAACCGCAAGACTAACAAAAACACGCCCGCAATTGACTCGATTTCACTTTCATGCGCACACACAAAGTCCTCAGAGTCCTTCCTCCGTCCTTCATCTCAAGGAGCTGCTGGGTTAAACTGCCACTGGAGCTGGGGAAATTAAACGGATTTCCTCGAGCAGTTGACTTGACATTGTCAGCATATACTCGTAGTATATGCAGATGTAGTTGGTTACAAGCAGGAGCTAATTAGATTCCTTTGCCCAGATGATCCACAGAAGGAGTTACAAAAAAAAGGAACAAAGCCTCCTGTCCAGCAGAGGATAATTCCTTGAGCTATTCCAGCTTGGAGGGGAATACAAACTGATTCTAGGGCACGTCCAACCCAATCGTCAGTGTAAAAGTAAAAGAGTTTCATGTCATTCGATTTCATTCCCAATGCTTTGACTGTTTGTTCCCATAACCCACTGTCCCGCCATTGGAGGCTGGCCCACAAACAGACAATTCAGTTGAGCGCTTTTCCCTTTTCTAATTTCAATTTTCATTTTCATTTTGGTTTTGAAAATGCATTAATAATAATTAGTACAAACATGGAAGAGAGCCGAGCTGCAAAGGCTGCAGACCAGAGCCAGCGCGGAAATGCAACTCATCTCAGTAATGATGATTTTCAGATGGAAAGCGACAGCATTGGGGCGTGGTCAGAGAGGGTCTGGGACCAGCAGAAAGTCTCTTTCCCTCTCGATTCATTTGTCAGCAGAAGAGCCATCAAAAATGTTTCCAGTGTCAGCGAAATTGTTGGAAATGAATTTCTTTTTAGCGATTTTTGGCCATCAAAATATTTACTGGGCTCATAAAGTAGTAGACTTTATGGATAAGTCGACGGGAATTCTTTGTATGTAATTGCATATAATTTTTATAGAACATCAGCAGAAACAGCGTGAGGAGTGGCAATGGTACGGGGGAACAGCAAGGGGTAAGGATATGGGATAGGAAGGGAAGGGAAGGGAAAGGAGCAGCCACGGCCACTCCCATTGATAATGCGAAAGCATCCAGACATCAATCTGTCCCAGAGTATCCCAGAGATTCGTGAGTCGTCGCTTTTTCTTTTTCTCATTTTCGTATTTCGTTTCCGTTCCTCTGCCAAAGTGTCAAGACAAATCAATAAACTTCTAATTTTATTACGGTGCTGTCTTTAGGAGAGCACCAACCCAACGAAAAGAACAGAACAGAACGTTACAGATACAGATACAGATACCGATCTGTCAATTTTCATTGTCGATTTGACAATTGATATCTCACACATCATTTGGTTCGAGTGCGCACAATGAGATTGTTTATGCCATTTTTGGGTAAGCGACTGGCGAATTCCTTCCCTCGTAGGTAGCCCACGGAGCCTCTCCAGAGGCTTGGGTTCTGGGCCAGGCATCGGCTTTCTTTCTTTCTTTCTTTTTTTCATACCTTTCGCTGCTGCCGTCGCGCATGGCCTTTCCCCGATCTCTAGGGGTTGTCTCCGCTTGCGGTTTTCCTTGAGAAATTGCCATGATTTTTCTGCATTTTCTGCTGGCTTTTTGTCCACTTAACGCTACTCGCTTTCTCTCCCTCTCCCTCTCCTTGGTTCTGTTTCTGGTCAGAGTTCAAATATGGGTCCATTGACTAATGACATTTGTCCGCAAAATGCTTGCATAATCCTCTTAGATCTGATCTGTTGTTGTGGGTCAATGTGCTGGTCGATTGTGCGGTCGAGCCTGGAGAAAGCAGGCCGAAGGAGAAGGTGAAAAGGTCCTTCGTTAATTGTGAGGCTTATGGTCGGTCTTATTTGCCTATGAAATTTGCCATGTGGATCTTTTGGGGACGTACCCGTCTAAGCACAATAGATTCAGTATGTTTCTATATATTATATTTACCTTATTATTACAAATATCTATCTGTGATATTATTCTTACCTAAGACGATTCGATGCCTGTCATTATTACAACTTTCCCATAACTTTGCCACTTTCCCATAAATCCCCTTGTAAGACTCCCTTGTAAACCCAAACGCAATCCCAAAATTATGCAAAAAGCAACGCTCTACATCATGTTAAGGACTCGAGTGATCAATCCAAAATAATTCTGACACTTCTGCAGGGCTCTACAGATGCTTTACAAGCAAGAGAAAGCGAGAGTTTGTACCAGTTTTGGCATTCGCCATGGCTGTCGCATTTCATGTTACTTTCGCCGATCTCCCTGAGACGAGAGGAGAGTAAAGGAGAGTAGAGGCGCAGATCAATCAAAGTTGGTCACGCTGTCGGGAATTATGTCACTCGGCTACTCAAATTGCAAAAAGGCTGAACATCAGGATGATGATGAACTGGCTCTAGCAGCTTGACGGTTACACTCATTTGCATATGAGGAGCAGCAGCAGAGGCAGCAGCAGCAGCAGCAGCCAACAGTTTTCCACGGCAGCTGCGGCCGAGTTTTCCCATTAACCCAAGGTGGGGTTGACTCACAAAACTTTCATTGACAAAGGCCCAAAGTTTTTCTGGGTATTTTTTCTAGATTTTGTTGTACAGTTTTTCCACGGTGCTGTCAGCGCATCAATCATGAATTTTATGTTTGTGTCTTTTAGGCAGGCGATTTCCTAAAATATCTTTTGTAATTCTTTTAATTGGAATTTGTGTAATATGATACTTTTCATTTGGTGGCGGGATTAATCCCTTCTATACATATGGTAATCCCGTCAAGAGCAGGGAGAGAGAGAGAGAGGAGATCCCAAGGACTGAGCATACTTTTCGTAGAGAGTTTTGATGTTGCGCCTGCGCAGATGCAAGCCCCGCTCCTGCCCCATAAATTGAGACATATATGAGGAGGAAATCTTGCCAAAAGATGAGCCGCCGCCACCCCTCCCTCCCATATATCAATCAATTGTCAGGGTCCATAAACGATTTTATAATGCGATTCCGCTGGCCAGCTGCTCAAAAGTGATATAAAATCATCGGATACTCTCACGATGGGCAGGGCAGGACAGGACAGGGCATACCGAAATCGCACTTTATGGCCATACAAAATTACTTCATTTTCAGTCACCGCCACAAGCCAATGTCGAATTAAATCCAAGACTCATGTAAGTCCAGGAATTATGGGAGATGTCTGTTGTCTGTCGTCTGCCTCCTACCCCTGGCAGGGCCCTGGCTGCCGCCACTTCCTGTTTGTGCGTCTTTCTTTGCTCCACTAATTGCTGGAAGGATATGACAACGCTAAAACAGGAAGCGGAAGCTAAAGTAAAGTGGGAGCGATAGCAAAGAGGAGGGCACAGAACATCTCCTAACTAAACGGCACTAGCCGGGGGCACTACACCAAAAACCAAACAAGAAACACCAAGAACAAAACACACGCAATCTCACTAAGCAAATTTAAATGACGATTCGCTCCGGGTGCATTCATTAAGGGTCTTCTCTGCTCGATAATTAACGCCCTTATGTCCAGGGAATAACATCAGAGCAGAGCAGGAGCAGGAGCAGGAGCATGGAATGCCACAGAGAATGTAAGAGAAACGAGCCAAACAATTCCCCAGTCAGCAATGAGAAAAGTCGCGACTGAGCGACCCGACTCTGTGTCCGGTATTCGTTGTCCACTGTCCACTGTCCATTGTCCTGTGTTCTGTGTCCTGTGTCCGTGGGCCATTGTGACTAATTGATTTGCCTGAACTGAATGTCCCATTCATGTTCGTACTCTCCCGCTGCTACCCTCAGCTTGTCTGCTTAATTTGCAGTTTCAATAGCTGGCCGAAAGTATCTGAATTTGCGGCGTCTAGTTAATAGGATTCGAATGCCGTTTTGAGGAGACTTTCGGCAATGACAAAAGTCAATTTGTTATGGGAAGCGCTGCTCGCAAGGAGATTCATTAGAGAGAACAATATGAACGCATAAAATATTGAATGTAAATTCAAAAGGTAATTCAAAAGCCAAACAATGCAATTCGGACAACGAGCTTCATTTAATTTATTTTATGTTGACTATTGAATTACATACTTCGAATCTCACCACAATTTTTGTTAAAGA